TTGGAGAAAAAAATACATAAAGAAGTTAATTTGTCATTCAATATATAATATTATTTAATGTTTTTCTAAGTTTTTTTAATCTAAAACTACTTGCTTCGGAAACTTTGATATATATTCTCCATAATCTATCTCCCATCGACTCATTTCATTGTTCCATTATCGCGTGAATTCTATTTTTATATTAGAATATGATATATTTTTTTGTTATTAGCTAACAAAACCCCATCTTTTGAAAAAATTACCAACCACGTAAGATGGTACAACTTATATCTATATTTAGAATAACAAAACTTAATTGCTTTTTTATAGTTGTTCTTTATTATCTAATATTGAGTGTATAAATCTTATGTAACATTCTATCTCTAAAAGAAGAATAAGATCTCAAACTATCATCAACATAAATTTTTTAATTTATATAATTGATTATTCCAAAAAAGTTTGTTTAACCCTAACCTTATGTTTTTTAGTCTTCTTTTACGTAGGAAAGAGAGAAAAATAATAAAGGAAGAAAAATATTTTGTTCACGAGATTTTTTTAGGGAAAAGAAAAGAAAAGGAAAGAAAAAAACTTATATCAAAATTTATTTTTATTTCATTATTTTTCCTTCCTCTCTCTTCTCTACTAAAAACACAAATAAAAAACTTTATTTTTCTTCCTTTCTTTTATTTTTCTTTTCCTTTCTCGTTATTTTCTTTCCTTTTCAAATTCGAAAACATAATATAAAAGTTTAAAACCGGTATTAATCTTCTCAAATTCAAAAACATAATATAAAAGTTTAAAATGATGTTAAAAAACATTAACATGAGATGACATGGAACATATTTACGTTGATTTACATAGCGTCACTCGGAAATCAGAAGAATCAACTTTGTGACCCCAAATAATGTCATTCTATGTACCAAAAGTATATCATATGATGTTTTTGATAATGAAACAAATTACCGATACTACATAAAAATGTTCTAGTAGATAATATTAATTTAGAAATGAGTATTGATTGATTTTGTGTCCAAAAATACTCGGAAAAACGTTTTTATATGAATTCAATGTTATTTCTAATGATAAAAACAATATATTGAAAAAATATCGTACTTATCGAGTACCCCTTTTTTACATCTCGCCCAAGACCTAAAAAAGGTCAGAAACGGGCCTGGATGGAGAAAACAATTCTTCAATTGTACGTCGTTGTGAGTGAAGAGTAGTGTTAAGGCTGTAAAAATTGGATTATTTGGTATGGCAAGGATAGCAGACTACCAACATCATAGCTTCAACAAAATCGCCGTCTCCGGCCACAGACGTCGAGCACCAAAAAGCGTTACAATTTTACGGTTTCTATCGGGAAACCGGAATCTTATGCGGGATGAGTAATTTACAAATATGGTCCCTGACATATTCCCGATTTACATGTTTAATTATTTTGGTTAATGAAAAAATCAAAAAAACCTCAAAAAACTATCTCATTTTAAATGATTATGATGGTACTCACCTAATTCAACAAGATACATTTCAATTTTAATGTTTCATTTTATTTTTTGTCTCTATCGATCTTATACGGTTTTATGTGGTTTGAGAAAACAATAATGATTTTTTTTGAAAAAAATATAAATTTACAGATATCATAAAACTTTTAAAAAATATATCGATATTAATATCAAATTAACTATTTTAAAAGTTATTTTTTTGTGTAATTCTTTTAATTCAGTGTTTTTTTATTGTAATTTAAACTAGATTTGATAAAGAAGTGATTTATTTTTGGTTTAATGATATAATTTTTTATAAGAATAATAATTAAGTATTTTGTTAGACTGATTATTCTAATTATATTTTAGAATTTTTATATTAAATTATATATTTATCTTGTTACGATTATGGATATATGTTGTTAGTTACACAAATTTAAACATGGAGATTTAATAAATTATACTTACATACAATTTACTTGGAAACTTGAATTTTAAGTAATATACATCAATTACTCTATGCATAAACAAATATTTTTAAAAGTTTTTGTCAAATATTTTATAATATATTATAGATTAAGTCTGAACTATTTTTTTAAATGAAAAAATCATTAAACTTTCTCGTTTTGAATGATTAAGTCTCTTAACTAATTTTTTGAATGAAAAAAATCATTAAGCTTGATCATCCAAAATTAGAAAGTTCAATAATTTTATTCATTCAAAATGAAAAAGTTTAATGTGTTTCATTTAAAAAAATAAGTTTAAGGAACTTAATCATTCATAATGAGTAAGTTTAATGGTTTTTTCATTTAAAAAAATAGTTTTAAAAACTTAATCATTCAAAATACGAAATAATTAGAATTTTTAGAACTTTTTTATTTAATTAAATAATTTCTTAATTGGATTTTTATTCATCAACGTTTTATTAAAGTTTTGATAACTTATCAACGTTTTCATGAATACTAAATCCAACATTATTGTTTTTTAGATGAATACATATATGTTTATCCCATAAATTTTGTTTTTTAATGAAAATTTAATTCGTATTAAATAAGGGAACCTTTTTTTGTATTTAACGATAAATTATCAACATTTTCAGAAAACTTTAATATAAAATAACATGTTAAAGTTATTTGAAAACAAAATAAACACAGAGCATGCAACCGTTTCATAAAATAACATACATATAAAATATATTATGTATGTAAACTGAAACATCATGTATACGTACATATCATCATAAAAATCATATAATGCTCGAAAATAAATTTGTACATAGGTATGCATCTCATTGTAAATCTCATAAAGACTCACATGATTGCATGTAGATTGACTACTGGTTGCTCTTGACCAAATGTTTACACATTTCATATCATAATATCTTATTAAGGGCTTAATTTATTCAAAAGTCAACAAAAGTCATTATGACCCGACCTAAAGTCAAACTTAGTATATGAGCATCTTAATATGTCTCAAACAACTCTATTTGACCTATCATTAAAATCTACATGAATCAAATGTGTCAAAAGTCAATCCATTGGTCAACTCGGTCAAACCCCGACTAATTTTAGTCAAACTCTGTAACTAAAACTCAACAACGGCTTAAAACGTCAAAATAATCATTTTATGATCTTATAAATCAAACTCTCAAATTTAAAGCGTCCATGTGATTGATTAACTAAAAAATACGACACCTTAATCTCAATATTAGATCATCAAAATAATTTAAGAAACATCTCAGTAATATGCTTGATAACGACTCTAAACGTCAATTATTCTTTTAGTAACTAAATAAAACTTATGTCTCATATTAAGATGTCTCAGACAACTGATAAAATCAAATTATGACAACTAAAAAAACATTTATTAAGTTACTAATCAATTTAAAAAACATACTAATTTTTTTAAAAATTAAATAAATCAAACAATATAACTTATACAACATAATAAAATGGAATCAGATATTAATTAATTATATTTGGACCTTAATTAGTGGTCAGATTAATTATCCAAATAAATCCAAAGATATTATATAGATTATAGAGTTATGAACCAAATCTAAGTCCAATAGACAAAACAATCCAGATTATGACCGGTCCTATCATTTTCGGTTGGGACCGGGACCGGGACCGATTATGCTGGGACCGGTTATAGCCGGTTATGAGAAAAATGAGGACCAATTGCGACCGGCCCGAGACCGGTTTTTGGCCATCTCTAATCCAGAATAAAATTAAGGCCCAAAAAGGGCCCACATGGCCAGAATCAGGCCCGCCAAGCGTCAACCACACCTCCTACAGCGTCCCAACAGCTTCGACAACCGGGAAACGGCTGTTCGGCCTCGTTTTTTCATCGCTTTCGATGATTTTTTTCTTAAAACACTATAATATGATTTTTCTTAACCATAGGAACAAAAATCAACTAGAAACATCAAGTATCGAGTCTCGTGCTCGTTTAAAGTTGGGGTCTTAAAAACCACTCAAAAATCAGTAAAAAAACTCAAAATCGGGCCTCCAAAACTAAAATACGAGACGTAAGACTACTAATGTTCCATATAGGACCTAAAAACAAAACTAAGCATATAAAGAACTCGAATTTTGGTTGGGTATTTTACCTCCAATCGTCAATAAACAGAGCTTTTCGAACTCGAATTTCAATCTCCGATTTCTTTTTCCAAACCTGACGAAATTTTAGTTTTCTTGTACCAAAATGTAGAAGAAAGTGTTATCTACATATATCTGAAACTTTTTTTTGTCTTAATAGCTGAAAATTCGAACCAATAGGAAGCTTCAAAGAAGTTGTTGTTTTCAAGTTTCTGAAAATTGCAGATCTGATATATTTACAAAACAAGTCTTTTTGGTTTGGATCTGTTAACATCTAATGCAACCCCTTAACTATCAGAAAATTCGTTTTGCCCCCTTGCTTTATTATTTTTGACAACTTTACACTTTTCACCCTTAATTTGACATTTTCCTTCATTTTTAATCCAATTTTCAAATACTTTAATATTTTTGATTCAATAAAATAAAACTCATTTTATTTTATTTTTCCTGTTCTTTTTTGCTTTCTAATTTATTTATTTATCTCATCTTAAGGTGTCACAATAGATATGGAATGTTTAACAAAAAACATTTGATAAGTACTAAAAAAAGTAAACAAACGTTTTTCTATTACCTCTTTTTTTAATTACAAAAGTAACAAATGTAATTGGATTCTTCATGCAACGGAGAAAACAAAATTGCAACAGCTACAACAAAGAAAACATTAGACGACGTTAAATTAATTTTGTATATAAACAAAGAACGGTTGTTTACGAATATACTCAAATTAATTATTTAAAGGTGGAGATAAAGAAAACAATTTGCAGTTATCATCCTCAAAATTCAAATTTGGGACAAAATAGGGTACAAATTCGTAAAATACTAAACTACAGGGGCTATAAATGCTCACTTTATTTCCTTGAGGAGGGTATATGGCATATTCAAAACACTTACTTATAGTATCCGCACCCGATGATGCTGTATAAGAACCAAATCTAATTAGGGTTTCAAGGGTTTTATTTTATCGCATACAAGAACTGTTGCAGCGGCCGCCATGGTTCTCAAGTATGATTCCTTCTATCCTTTACTTTGATTCATCTTAATCGTTCGTCACTTGTACTTGCAAGTCGTAGGGGGTTTGGTTTGTTGATTTGTAAATGGAATTCTTGATCAATCTGGTAGGTTAATGTTAGCGTTCGTTTTCCAGAAAAAAATCACTAACAAGGTTATTAACGTGGTAATATGACCATATTTTGTAGTAATGTTCTCAAACAATGTTACTTGAACGAGATCTGCTCAATTTATAGCTTGAAATAGGATCGTATTGGAGCGTGTAATGGTTTATGCGTTTTAGGGTTTTTCCCAATATCTTCTTGACTTTGATTTCATGTTCAGATGGTCGCACTTGGCTTTTGATCATTGCTAAGTTGTATATGAGCATTCTGCTTTTACAAGCGTTGCATTACGTTGCCGAATGGTAATCTAGATCGATTAACCATACCATTCTGTTGTTATATCATTATAACACTGCCCAAAAAGGTTTTCTAGTCACACATTCTTGCCTTTTCGCATTGAATCACAGCGTCTGTGATAACAATTGATTGTCTTTTTTTAATTTTGGTATTAAATGCTGTTAGAATCATTTTCTTGGATGTTTTCGGTTTGTTTAAGATTTTAACCTTTTCTCTCTGGTAACCATAGGACTGAGCTCTGCCGATTCAGTGGCCAGAAGATTTATCCTGGCAGGGGTATTAGGTTCATTCGATCTGACTCTCAGGTATATGCTTATATAACAAGGATGTGTTTTGGGTATCCTTTGCGTGTGTAGTCAAGTGCATTCATCGTTTAGTTTGGATTGTTTACTTTAACAATTTTAGGAATTAAACTTCTTTGTTGTCAATTTAGGTCTTTTTGTTTGCAAATTCCAAATGCAAGAGGTACTTCCACAATAAGCTGAAGCCCTCAAAGCTCACATGGACTGCCATGTTCCGAAAGCAACATAAGAAGGTGAGAGAAGTTCATTAATTGGCTGGTTGCTTGTTACATTTTTGTTTATTTTGGTTGATCATATTCTTGGTAATATCATTGATTGTCTTTCTTGTTCTTGAAACAAAACAGGACATTGCTCAAGAAGCAGTGAGGAAGAGGCGTCGTGCCACCAAGAAGCCTTACTCTAGGGCTATTGTGGGAGCCACCTTGGAAGTTATTCAGAAGAAGAGAAGCGAAAAACCTGAAGTTCGTGATGCTGCTAGGGAGGCAGCTCTTCGGTACGATGGTTTTTCTTAATCATAGTGACTTTGGTCACTTACTAGTTACCAACTTTGCATAACTAATCATGTTACCTACAATGCAGGGAAATCAAGGAACGGATCAAGAAAACCAAGGACGAGAAGAAGGCAAAGAAAGCTGAGGTAATATCCAAACAAAAGACCCAAGGCAAGGGCGGCAATGTGGCTAAAGGAGGTAAGGGACCTAAGCTCGGAGGTGGTGGTGGAAAGCGTTAAAGTTCCATTTCTGTTTCCTGCTTTATTAGGCTTAACCTGCTTAGGTAAACTTTTGAATATTTTGTACCTGTGATGTCGATTCTCTTGAGGCATACCTTTCACTCAGATGTTTGTTACCATTCACAATTTCAAATATGAAACACCTTCTATTTACATTTGCTTTTCTTTTTTATCTGATTTTTTAGATCGATATGTTTGCGAAGTTAAGTCTGATATTTTTGAGGGATTGGTAGAAGCCACCCCCTGATTTTTAGCAATCAATTACTGTGTTTGTGTTTGGTTATGCTAGACATGACATAATAAAAATTTGGTTCATGTTTGCTGTAATGGTAGACTTAGCCAGCTTAACGAGCTTAATTGGACGTGGCTTATTCGATTATATATGATTGTTCGGTAGTGGTTCAATGATATAGAAAGTGGTTTTTATTCGGTAAGATTCTTGGAGGAAAATTCATGCATATAGCAAAGTTTTTTTTAAACTTGTTCATCTCAATTAAAAAACATGCTGCTTTCATCTTAATGAAAAAACCCTTTTAAACAAATATTCACAATCTTAAAATAGACAACTTTATTCATCAATGATTTGATGGAAAATCAACCAAAGAGCCTTTGAGAAAGGGCAGGAATGAGTGGGACATTAGATTTTGGTAAATTACTAAACTATCGAGTGTCAAATTAAAACCCCAAAACTTTAAGTAATTCTTTCATTGACCTACTGCATTTTCGTCTATTCAGTTCTGTCATGTCCTGTTATAGTTCCATCTGCTTACCAATGCAACAAAGGCCACATATAACGTTGTTTATGCTACTCGTGCAAACACAAACGAGCGTGACTCGGAGCATGCATTTCTTATTGCACACCCACCATAAATTGGGTACCCCTTTATATGCTCAGATTCTAATCACATTTTAAGAGATGGAACAGACCAATGAAGATGGTGAGTTTAAAGGCGGTTTTAGGTGGTTGGTTGTTGACGATGGTGGTTGTGAAGACCGTAATGGCTGTGGATTGCCTCACCGTGGCCTCCCTCATATCCAGTTGCTCGGACTTTGTCAAGAACGGTACACCATATCCGTATCAAGGGTCCCCTTGTTGCGATGCCATGACCACTCTCGGCTATCTTGCTTATGCTGATTTTAATCTACGCTCTATGTGCTTGTGTTTCATCGGTATCATTACTTCCTATGGTTCACGTGCCGCCATTGCCGTTGGTACTTTGCCGGGTTTTTGCGGTGTTTCCTTTGGCTTTCTCGTCGATCCTGAAACTGACTGCCGCTAGTAAGGTTTTAGACTTCGCTCTTTTTGCTAGTTTTATAGCATAATTTCTTCATCTTATAAGCCTACACTTTGTTTTGTTAGGGGTTTTTTGGTTGTACTTCTATCGAGTCCTATAGGGATAAAACTACTTGTATTGATTAATCTGTCTTTATAGATTTAAAAGTTATTTATTTGAAATGCATTTTTTTATATATAAAAGAAATATGTTTTATAACTTGAAGTGAGATATTTGGATTTTCTGTATAAAGTTCTCCCTAAAAGCTTATTGAATAAGACGCTTTTCAATTTCTATATCATTAAGTCATTACCAAACAAGATAAAATAGTTCAGATTTCAAAGTTGAGAACCAAAACGTTATAAAGTGCAGACATTTACATAAGAAGAAGAACACAAACATGTTATTTTTCAAACAAACAAGAAGGTTTTAAGGTTACTGTACAAGAATGACACCAAGAAAGTGTCTGATGAAAACCAACCCACACCGGTTAATCGAAGACGTACCATCCTACCTACGGAAACCATGCTCGGAGTTGGTATCCGAATAATCCAAAGGGCGTCGGATGGTTTTACTCGTTCTCTCAAACGCCATCCTCTGCCTCGGAGCACTCAGGGACCGTAGCTTAGCTTGAGATGATTCTGTGTTAGCCATGTAGTTTGGGTGACTCGGATTGTCTCTAAATAGCTTTGCTGGAACAAGTGGACTTGCTTTACGGCTGCTTCCTGGCCAATATGTTATCGGGTTATCTTCAACGGTTGACTCGGCTTTCTCCGTTCCCCAAATTGAGGAAACGTCGCTGGTGTACATGGGTTTCTTCGGTTTTATTGGAGTAGTAGTCTTCCTTGGCCTTCGAGTTGGGTTCCAAGTATCTACTTCAAGAATCTTATCGCTTGTATCGTCATATTTGCTCGTCCACGAGATATCATCCATCCAACTTTCTAACCAATACGGTCCACTATGATGTTGTCGTTCTCTGCCAAAACTAACTTTCACATTCGACATGGAGCTAGATCGCTGTGTTTGCAAGGAAATAATCGATCAATAAGAAGATGGATCTATGTAAGAATTGAACGCAAAGGTTTATGAAAGGAGTTGGTTTTTTACTGACAGGATGGTGGTAGGATCGCGTAGACTTGATGGTTGAATGCGGTGAAGCCGAGGAATGAGCCCGGTTGGCACAGGCTCTAGCCTGTAGACGAGCCATGGCCTGCATTCTTCGAAGCATGTCGGCACTCTGTTTCCGAACGATGTGGCCTCGCACGAGCGCCTGAAGCTTCACCAATGCCTTAAGTGCCCTCAATGCTCTCCTAGCCTACACATCCGCCAAATATTTGATTTATAATTTATTCGTTCTTTCGATACATATAATTTACAATTCTTTACCGTTTTGATAAAGCAAGGAATTAGTCAAGGGACGAAAATAGTAATAACTTGCAAACTATAGGGACGATAATTAAAATTTATAAACTACATGGACAGAGATGACATTATCAACAAACCATAGGGATTAAAACCGTAATTTACTCTATAAAATAAAATAAAATAAAAATTATTCTAAAAATTACAGTTTAACTTTTTTGAACTTTAAATGAAATACACGTGAATAAAACCAGAAAGATTCGTAATTATAACAAAAAAAGTGCAAATTTATAACCAAAAATGTGTTTTTATGCACTTGTTACAATGTTTCATATTTTCACAATTTTATTTTTATAAAATATCAAATATTTATATGTTAACAAAAAATCCTAATATTATATGTATCTGTCTGATCAAACGCTTTTGACTCTATGTTTTTTTGGTAAAACAAATTAGAAAAATGTACTAATTCTAAATTTAAACGATATTAAATCTGGTTTTTTTTACAAATAATATACTTAATAATAAGTGTATGATATATTTAATATGCAACGACAGGACGGTTAGAAATCATGTCATCTAGCCATATTTAATACATGTTACCTGGACAGGAACCCCACCCTTAATCCCCAGTTTCGAATGAAATATTTTAATAATATAAGTAATATTATAAAATTTTAGAATAACAAAACTGAATTTGATTTTTTATGTAGATTTTGAATTTTGATTTTTTCAATTTCAGAAAATTTATCGAAAATGTCTAAAATTATAAAATGAAGATTTTTGTTTTTTATTTCGTTATAAGATATTCTTTATATTATTCTTTAAAACAAATAAAATTTTAAGCAATAAACAAGAAAGATAATAGAGACAATAATTTGGTACATGGATTTTTTTAAACATCTTATATCAAATTATATAATTGGTTCGTACAATTAATCCTTACCGACAAAAAAGCGACACATTTTTATTAAATTTTTTAATTTAATTATTGGGTTTTCATAAACATTATTGAATTCTAAAAATTATCATAAATAATTATTAAAATCTAAGGGGACGTTTGATTCAAGCAGAATAATGAAAATGACAAATTCCTCTCAGTTTAACATGGAATGAAAATGTGAGCTTTTGCAGGAATAGATCTGTTATATCATAAAAAACAAACAGTTCTTTTTTTACTTTTATTTTTATTCTCATTGATTACTGTTTAATACATCTTACCAAACATCCCTAAATAAATATATAAAAGCATACGTGTAATATATGTGGTGGTTGTTTCCAAGAATAATAAAGAGATGAAAGTAATGGTTTTGTGGTTGTTTCCAAGAATAATAAAGAGATGAAAGTAATGGTTTTGTGGTTGTTTCCAAGAATAATAAAGAGATGAAAGTAATGGTTTTGTGTGTGTTTGTGTGTATTTGTTAAAGTGGTGGGACCCAATTTATAAAATCAATGAAGATTTGTGCATATTAATTAAATTAAAGTTGTTGAACCACAACCCAAAATACAAAACTACCCACTCCATTTGCCTTTTAATCTTATATTTAATTCAAAAGTTCGAATTTATACAAGGGCAACTTAGTAATTTTGATATAAAAAAAACACTCACCAGGTAAGCCCGAAACACCGATTGTATCTTCACTGCCGCCACTCCCCGTAGTCGCTCACCGTCGTAATACCCTCTACCACCACCACATCCGCCGCCGCCGCCACCACTTGTCAATCTGACAACCTCCGCCGCCGCATGTGCCGCAGCGAGCGCTGCCTCCGCCACAGCAGCGGTGGCTGCCGCTACTGCTATGGCGTGCTTATTATCATCAGATGGTTTGAGATACGAAAGTAAGGCCGCAGATGAAGGTTGGTTTTCCGGCGGTTGTTGTCTCCGATGTGAAGACTTTTTGGCGCCGAAAAGAGAACGGAGCCACCTGGTTGTCTTACCCATCTTCCATCGCCGGCGTGTTCAGTGAGAGTGAGAGAATTTAGAAGGGGAAAATAGGGGTTTAAAAGACGCAACGAGGATTTTGGGCGGTAGTTTAAATTTTGGGTCCCCAAGGTTTTTAAAAATGGACGGCTTTTGACAGATAAGATGGCGGTCCACACGGACAACAAAAGTCTAAAGTAACATACAAAACCAACATTTATTATTTATTTTTATGGTCGTTAGTGATTTCCAAGTCGTCGCTTCATAGAATTAATATTTTTAGGTCGTGTTTGGTTAGCAAATTTTGAAGAAATTTGAAGGAATTGGAATGTTAAATTCCTTTGATCAGATTCATTTCCTTTATTTGATTCATTCTTTTCAGCGGAATAAATCTTCAGATTCCTATGAATTCCATGGATAAAGGATTTTAACATTCCTTATCAACTACATGGTATTTTGATGGAATGAAATCTATATATTCATTATACCAAATATGTTCTTAACCTAATATACTATAATCTCATAAAACTCAATATGACCATCGTCGACCACCTCTCGACCACTATTGATCTGAACCACCACCACCGCCGACCACCACCACTGACTACCACCGATCTGAACCACCGCCGACCACCACCACCACCGACTACCACCAGTCTGAACCACCGATTACCACCGGTCTGAACCACCGCCGACCACCACCACCGATTACCACCGGTCTGAACCACCGCCAACCACCACCGATCTGAACCACCACTGCCGACCACCACCATCGTCGACTACCACCGATCTGAATCATCGCCGACCACCACCGCCGATCTGAACCACCGCCGATCTGAGCCACCATCGATCTGATTTATCGTCAATCTGAACTACATTTGACCATCGTCACTTGAGCCACAACGGACCACCATCGATCTAAATCACTGCCAACCACCGACGACTACCATTGCTCTGAATCACCGTCGGACATCGCCGACCACCACCGATTTGAACAACCATTGCCGCCACCGCCTATTTGAACCACCGCTGACCACCTCCATCTGAACCATTGCGGACCACCATCGATCTAAATCATTGCGGACCACCACTATCTGAACCACTGCGGACCACCATCGATCTAAATCATTGCGGACCACCACCGATCTGAACCACCGCCGACCACCGTCGATTTAGTAACGTCGTTTGGCTTATGATTATATTTGGGTTGTGTATTTTATATTGTTTTACATATTAAATGATTATTTTATTGAAGTATTTTTAGTTTTAAAAAAATTAAAATTTTCAAAAAAATGCATTTTGGTTATTTACCAAAATTTTATTCCAATTCTAAAGCTGCATTCTATGAACCAAACAAAAAGATTTCAATTCCTTAACAGATTTCATTCCAATGTCTGCCAACCAAAAATGTAGTCAAACCTGACAACATTCCATTTCAGTTCTTTCATAGTCAAATTTCTTTGATATATTCAATTTCATTCAAAAACATTATGCGAACCAAACGTCACCTTAGACTTTTGTGGAAAAAAAAATACATGAAAAAAAGTTTAAATTGTGAAACGAATACATATGAAACAAATATATGTTAATTAAGGTAAAAGTTTCCTCATGGACCTGACAATTTTTAAAGTTTTCAAATGATTAAATTCTACCATTAAATATGTATTTATTTATTTATTGAGAACATCTTCAATAAAAGTTCTTTTCAACTATGCAAATAATATTGTAATGTATCAAAATATATAAAAACCTATTTAAATGTCCAAACATATATAAAACACTGTTAAAATATAATTTCACATTTAAAATAAAAACCACGGTTGTTATATTAAAAAACAACTTCGATGAAAATTCTTACAAAAATCTGTTTATTATAATTATTTTTGTTACTACATCATTTTCAACTAATCGAATTAAAGACTTATAAAAAAGTTTTACAATGGTACTCTTTATAAGAACTTTTTTTATGGATCCTATTTATTTTTTCAACAACAATGATTTAGGGGTGACAAAAAATGACCCAACCAGCTAACCTAACCCAACCCATTTCGGGTTGAGTTTTTCAACCTATTTAGATAAATGGGTTGGATTATGTTGGATTTTTCGACATATTTTCAACTCGTTTACAACCTGTTTTCAACCATTTAAAATATTATATAATTTTGTTTTATTCTCAATGTTATATCTAGTATATTAATTTTTAATTTTGTTTTATTCTTAATTAAAAATCCAACCATCGTGAGATGATAGTTCAAATTTTAATCGCCTCAATTACTCTTAATTATCATGAAACCCTAAGAAAACTCTTTAGTCCATTACTCTATTATCACCTCCAAAGTCCAATCCAACTCTTCAAGAGAAGTAGAGGATCAATAGGAAATTAATACCGAGAGTGAACTTGGGGTTGATGAAAGTGGAAGTCGAGTTACTTAGAATTTTAAATTTTTTTAATTTATTTTAAACAATATATTTGTCGTTGCTGTGTTTTATTCAAACTTTAAACAATTTATTCGTATTTGTGGTTGTGTTGTGTTTTGTTCAAAAAAGTTAAATAGTCTAGTCATTTTTTTTAATTTAAAATTTTAAAATTAAACGAGTCAACCCAAGTTCAACCTAATTATTTAACAGGTTTGGTTAAAAAAATCGTAAACATGTCAACTCGTTGTCAACCTATTTAGGTAACAAGTTGGGTTGAGATGAAAAATCTCAACCCATTTAATTAAATGGGTTATGTTGGGTTGAGATTTTCAACCTATTTAATAAATGAATTGAACCCGAACTCAACCCAACGTGACCCATTGTCACCCCTACAATAATTATTATATATGTATAAATAAATATCAAATATTTAATTCAAAATATTAAAAAAAAAACAGCAAAATGTCATTTCACACCAACTTCAAAGTAAAAACCAAAGTTATTGTAAACGAACTCAAAAGGTATGAGATTCTTAATTACAACTATCCACAATGTTGGTTCCTATAAAAAACTAAATTCTTTGCTTAAAAAAACAATGTATTGGAGATGTTTTAAGATTGTGAGTGCCTTATAAGATAAAGATATTAGCCCAATAAAGAAAAATTTAGCCCAATAAACAAAAAATTAGCCCAATAAAAATTAGAAGCCCAAAACTTTTAATGGATCAAGTGTTTTCGGTCCATTTTGGATGGTAGTAAGGCTTTTAAAGATTTATTAATTTTGACACTTATAAAAGTGACTACTTATTTTACATAATAATATTGGAACTTATATTGAACCCATATCATAAACATAGTATCAAAATTTTATAGTTAACAAAAGAGCTATTGTAACATTATATCGAATGTTGGATCAATTTGCGTTGCGATTCGAAGTTTATGAAATTAGCATCGTTTGTTTGAAATAATTAGCTTTTTTGTAGCTTAATCGGTCTAATTGAGTAGCCAAGGGACGAACACGGAAATCAATTTAACACAAATTGAATATAGCTTAATCGCCGTTGACTGGATGACTTACCCGTGTATAATCAAGAATACGTTACATTTATAAAGTTAAACATTATTTCACAATTAACGACAATACATAATTTAATTTGTTTTTAATTAAAAAAGAAGGAACAAATCCGAAAGCGAACATGTTTTTATTCAAAGCTGATAACAGATCCACCTGCTCGTCATTACTTAATAGATCACAAACCAAAACCAAAACCAAAAACAACGCTGACCAACATCACCTTCGTGTCCATATTTCAGTTTCCTGCATATGCATAAAATTAAAAAAAAAACAAATTATTCATTTAATTAATTTTTAATTCAACAATTCCACGTCACAACATGCAAATACATATTAAATATTATTATATTAATTTTTTTTAACAAAAAAATGATTAATTTTAATATTAATTACCGCAAGAAAGGGGGAGGTTGCATTGGGTAGGAAGAGAGGATGCTACACGAATAGTGTTGCAAAGGCAAGCATGGTCAACTGCTTCAAGTGCCACACAGCAGTCCGAGCTAGGAATCAAGTTGGTCGAGCCAGGAACCACAAAGGGTGCACACACGTTCAGATTTTCAAGCTGGTTCGGACATGTTTGACCATGGCTTCCACCCACAAGTCCTACCACCAACAACACCAATGTCACTATTTGGTTCATTTGGAACACATCCATGGTTGCCATTGCTAGCTAGCTGCTAATCTTCTCCTCCAACTTTCAATTAATTAATCGTATATATGTTATACAAACAATGTATGTATATATATATGGTCTTGTTTTTTTTTATTTTCTGAAGGCATTTTCTTCATTAATTTATAGTAGAAAAATGGTCGATTTGTGGATCATATTTGCATGTGTTACCTAATGAAACTTGGAAGTCATTTAATTCGTATTCTTGATCCGTGCCAACGAGAGCAAACACATATACGTGTATATAGGGTTGGGTTTCAGTAAGAATGAGAGTTAAGGTGAGAAATGTTAGAAGGGATCTCCATCATTTGATGCACACTAGGATGAGATGCATCGAGATCCACCGGCTCAATCCATGTATCAAGCGCGATTCATTGATGAGTTTGAGATTAAAGGTGATCAAGTGTTCATATCTCTTCTTACGCTTCACCTTAACTTAATTTCACACACGATCCTTACCAATATATATATATATATATATGTATATATATATGTGTGTGTGTGTGTGTGTGTGTGTGATGGATCATATGAGAATAAAAGTTATGATTAGAAACGTAAGAAACGATCTAAACCATTGATCACTTTTAATCTCATTAATTGCATTTTAGAAAGGAATTAATCCGGTAAATAACTTTGTTAAGGGTTGTATATTATGTTAATTCCCCCTACATAAAAAAAATGTTAGGAAAGTGTTTATTTACGTAGTATATAAGGGCCGTATAAAAACCCGACTAACCTCATCCAAAGTCATTCGATGTGTGATTGAGTTGTAAAATCTTCAAGTATTATATATTATGTTACCTTCATTTGAATCAATTATCAAACCCAATCTAATGAACTTGATACCTTTTTTTCTTCTTGGATTTAATCTCTTAGACTTGTTTGTTTTTTCATTTTCACCCCTTAATTACCATTTATGTCTGATTCGTTCAGACATTTAATAATTCAGACTGTTTGTTTTTTTATATATTATTTTTAGTCTCTTATTACTTAATAGGGTCTGAATAAATAAGAGGTAAACTAATATTTTAATTTCTCTTATTTCCTTTTTTCTTTGATTCTTTTCGGCTATTGTTTTTTTCTCCACTAGGGATGCTATTGTCCTTTCACCACCCATGTGAAATGTACTCACTCACCTTCCCTCTCTCAAGATCTCTCTCTCTCTCTCTCTCTCTCTCTCTCTCTATATATATATATATATAGAGAGAGAGAGAGAGAGAGAGCGTTTGGTTCAAATATTAACCATTTTTTTGTGTTAACTATGTTAACCAAGCTCAACCAATTATATTTCATCTTTTTCTTTGGTTCAAGTGTAACTCATATATTAAATACAAGGGTATTTAAGTAATTTGTCATTTTATGTAACTCTCAAATAATTAATTGGGTGTTACAAATTTGAAAATATCACAATTGATCATGATGCAATATTGACATTGGGGTTTCACACGTGTTCATGTTCTATAATTCACATTTATTTTAATCGACAGTTCTCACATTTGACATATGGACACATCAGAAATCACACAGCTTTAGATGCCGTGATTCATAAGTGTTCATGTATATTCAAGTTACTAGATGTTCATATGAGTACATACACACAGAACATGTGAAAACATGTGAACACGTATGAAAACACAGCTCTAGATGCCTTGGTTCATAGGTGTTCATGTACATACAGCAGAGTTGGCTCCTGAATATACAGAAGATGTTCATACGGTTCACATGTTATTCATATGTCTAATCTTTTTTGTTTGATTTAGTTTGAAGATATACACAAGTTGTTCATATGTTTAACAACTCGTGTATCAAATGTTTACCTAAATACCCTTTGATATTTTGTTTACATATGTTAATTGAAAATATTAATTTAATAATTAATTTTTCAATATCATTAAATCACAACCGTTTATTATTCAAATTAACGGTCAAGATCGGTTAACAAAATTAACACGATAATCTTGGTTAGCATTTGACCCAGCCTCAATATATATATATATATATATATATATATATATATATATATATATGCATATAATTTATGTACGTATAGCTTAGCTTAGAAAATTATTTTGAAACAAGAACTTTTATCGGCAATCTATCATCTATCAAAAGTATCGGTCTTTCTACAAACAAACTCACAAACAACATTCCCGATAGCATCGGAAGTCTGAAAGGTATCCAAAAAGTTCTTATTGTGTTCTATCTGTTAAGCAATTATTAATATGAATTTTGACAACAGAAGTTTTATAAAATTTTCAGAATTTTGCAAAACATTTGCACCTGCCTTTATAGCTGTAAACGAACCGAATGTTCAGTGAACCGTTCGGCGAAAAGTTGGTTTATGTTCGTTTATTTAATAAATAAACGAACATAAACAAAAAAAAAATTTCGCTTAGTTAAACGAACGAACATGAACAATAGTCACATTCGTTCATTTATGCTCATGAACGTTCGTTTGTTTACCGTTCGTTTACGTTCGTTTGTTTACTAAACTTAATATATAATCTTTTGTTTATTTACTTTGAATTCAAATAATATTTATTTATGTTCGTTTAGCCTGTTCGTTTATGTTCATTTAGCTCGTTCGTTTATGTTCGTTTGTTTACGTTCGTTTAGCATGTTAACAAACGAACATAACGAACACACCTGATTTCTAAACGAAAGAACATGAACGCAAAGATTTTTGTTCGTTAACCATTCGTGTTCGTTCGTTTGTTCAGTTAAGTTAAACGGACATGAACAAGTCTCCGTTCGTGTTCGTTTGGTTCGTTTACAGCCTTACCTGTCTTTACAAAAACAAACTATTGATTCAGATTTTAGACTTCAGACGTTTATCAGTTTACAAAATCAAACAGTCTTATTGATCCAGATTTCAGACTTCAACACCACCTCATATTAATCAAAAGTGAAATAAGACTTTAGACTTTAACACCTCTTAAGAAAACAAACTCTGCCTTATTAATATGTACATTAGACCGTCAAACCATCATCCTGTTCATATACATATATGTACTTTAGATTTTTCTTCGTCTCTAAATAACTCTATGTTTGTTTTCTTATATATGTTCAATAAATGAGAAAAACAGTTGAACTCGATCTACTTAAGAAATATGGATACGTTGTATTGATTAATATGATGATAAATGAAGTAATTATGAACAAAGAAAACATCATATTCACAATAACAAAGATAAGAAAATATTTTGATATAACAAAGTTTCAACTCAACTAAAGGGCCGTTTACCAAACGCTTACTTGGATAAGTGAACACCAAGTCACATTACCCTACCAGATGAATATGGTAAGAACCAAAAATCTTACCCGGTAAGAACGAGACAAGGACCAAGAGTCTTACCCGGTAAGTGAAGGTGACGACTCTTACCACCATAAGCACTTACCGGATAAATTGTTGCATACGATACCGTTTTGGTGAACTAAAATCTTACCCGGTAAGTAAATGATAGTGTTAAATTTCACCAGTAAATATTTATCGAATAAGTGTTTGGTAAACAACTCCTAATTCAACATAATTGATCTGATTTGAATGTACTTTTTAATTACTATAGAAAATCAAAACCCAAAAAACCATTACTACAATTCCTTACTGCAGTTGACTTCCTACTTTATAACACTTAGGACATCTATAATATATATATCTTTAAAATTTCTTTAAAATAAATAATTAAAAATAAAATTCTTTAAAAAATCATACTTTTATATTTTAAGTATTAGAATATTAATTAAATTACTCAATATAGTTAATAAAAATACTATTGATCTATTCTTAATATTTATTGTTCTAGAAATTCTATGGTGAAAATAATAAACAATTATTTTTAGTTCTCTAAATTTCAGAGATTTACCATCTCATACTTTTTTCTATTTTAAAGATTTTAGAAATAAAATAATTGACTTAAAATCCAGACAACTATTTTTTAGAAAACTATAAGGGTATTCGCACAATGTAAGAGATATATCTCGATTTTAATATTTCATTTTTTTGTCTCAATTGATATCGGTTTTATGTGGTTTTGAAGAAAAAATAATGTTTTTATTTTTGAATAAAATATAAATATGAAGATATCATAAAAAATTGATTTTTTAATATTATTAGTACCAAACTAACTATTTAAACTTTTTTTTATGTGTGTATTTCTGTAATTCAAGTTTTTATTTTGATTTAATAATATAATTTTTTATAAAGATAATGATCAAGTATTTTGTTAAAAGTCAATGATTATGCCATTTTTTTGGATTTTCATATTTAAAAAGAGATATGTATTCTCTATTCAATTATGTTTATCTGTAGTTAATTACACGAATTCAAACATGAAGTTTTAATAAATTGTACTTACGCATAATTTACTTGTAATTTTGAATTTTAAGTAATATGTATCAATAAACATTACTTCATACTTAAAAAATGATTTTTAAGAATTTTTATCAAATACTTTATAATGTAGTATAGATATCAGAGATATTTACCCGTAGTCGGATGACTCCAAACCTTAATTTAAATGTATGGAATATGATATTAAAGATGCCATAACTATAAGTCAACCTAATGCAATAACGTGAGGGTATGGAATGGTGAATAAGACAATTGAAGGGTTAGTTTGTTTTATCATTAAAATTAAATAAATTATATTTTTATTGTAAATTTAAATTAAATTAAAATTTTTTAATTAAAAAAATTACGCTAAAGGATAGGGGTTAATCCACTCGTCGATTAAAAAACCATATTCAAATGCAACTTGTAATTTTTAATTTGTTTCAACATAATTTTTGTATTTTATTTTTAATAAAGAGCTTAATAAAATGTAGAATTGAGGTAAAGAGTACTAAATTAACTATTAAATTTTTTTTGTGTATTTTTCTAATTTATTTTTTAATTTCTGGTTTTATAATATAATCTTTACAAAGATAATAATTAAATATTTTGTTAAAACTCAATAATTATCTTAATTATATTTTAGATTTAAAATGAAATGTTTATTTTCTATTTAATTATGTTTATTTGCAGTTAATCATGCGAATTTAAACATGGAGACTTAATAAGTTGTATTTACGTATAATTACTTGTAATCTTGAATTTTAAGTAATATACATCAATAAATAGTACTTCATGCATAAAAAATGATTTTAAAAGTTTTTGTCAAATATTTTATAATATAGTATATAGATAATTGAAACAAATCTCTAATAATATAATATAGTAACTAATATAAACAAGATGGTAAAGAAAAACTAATATATATATATATATATATATATATATATATAGGGTTGGGTTCACGTGAGACCAGCCTGTTTTTGTGAGACCCGTGAGACCACATTTTTACAAGTAACCTTCACAGCAAAAACGCAGTGAAGGTTTAAAAAAAGTCGAACCTTCACAGCAAAAACACTGTGAAGGTTTTAAAAAGTCACCTTCACAGTATTTTGCTGTGAAGTTTCAAGTGTAAAATGTTGGTCTCACGGGTCTCACGAAAACAGGCTGGTCTCACATGATCCCAAGTCTCTCTCTCTCTCTCTCTCTCTATATATATATATATATTGATTAAAAG